AAAATATTTAACCTGTAAGTGCAACATTTTTAGTGTAACCAAACAGTTTTTTCTTTTCATGGCTTTACACAGTCATTTGGTGTGAGAACTTGTGATTATGTCGTGAGAAGCCATTTTAATTCACTCATTGTTCAATATCCAAAAGTTTTGTAAATCGTTTAAGGAACTCCAGTAAGGTCAAAAGCCTAAATACATAAAATTGATTTTTTTTCATAGATCAAGTTAAGCCATTAAAATGAAAATATCAGCAAAAAGTAATAAAAAATATTCAAAATTTGATTGCAAATTGATAGCAATTGCAATTCAAATTGAAATTTCCATGCAAGTAATTGTTTTAGACCTACATCAAACAGTACACAAATGTCAAAAAACCTCAGTGGAGTCCCTTTAATATACTTTTAATCTCTTTTCTATGCAACAGGCACAGATACTGCGACAAATCCTATATAAATGAAGTCATTTCATGACACAAATCATCTACAGAGGTTTTCGTCAGGAGCTTAAGTTTATGAATATATTCAAACATAACGTAATTCTAAGCAGTCTCCATTCCTTAATAAATTTTGTAAAATACTTATATATTAATGTATATAAAGGTCAAGGACCTTCATCTTTATGCATTACAAAATATTAGGTATGCATAACATTTGCAATGCAAATTTTTCATATAGCTCTGGGATATTTCGATATTTCTGTTATTGCCAGCAATCCCCAATTCAACTTAAATTGAAAGCGTTAAATGACAATTGGGCCCAGGAAAAATGATTTATAAAATGGCTTTCGTGATGTAAGTCCCTAAGGGTAATCACGACTTTTACTTCAAAGAAAAGCTTCCACGACCGCTCGTAATGAAACTGAAGTAAAACAAGTGATATCGACATGATTTTGAAACCTGGTTAGATGATTGGGGTTTTGAATATCGCATCTAAAAATGAATAAATAAAAAAAGAACAAACTTACAACCTCAACCCCAACAAAAACAAAACAACAACAACAAAACAACTACACTACCACATATGAGGCATGAGAGGGGAATATCATGGGATAAATTAAAGAAATTCAAAACAAATCCCAAACTAAGTGCAACGATTAGGATTTTATAGGCTTTAACTTTTTATGTAGTAAAGGCGAATATATAAACGGATACATATGATTCAATATGAGATCAAGGCCTTAGAGATATACAAACCAAAACAAATCAAAAACACCATCCCATAATAATTATACCAATTAGAAATAATGAAAATATTAAAACACAAATAAAAAACCCGAATTGAAACAACAGTACATGTATGCCGGGTTGAGCATTCAAATGACAGTGCCAAACTATGAACCACTAGGGATATTGTTTTTATAACTCTATAGCTAGTATTTATATAAAGGATATTTGTTTAGTTCAGTGTAAGATCGGAATATATTTCACCGAGTGAGCACCAAAATGTATATTTAACGAGTGGCACAACCACGAGTGAAATATGAACTTTTGGTGTTCACGAAGTTAAAAATATATTTCAATCTTACATAAAACTAAATAAATTTTCTTTTTATTATATGCAAAGAAACGTTTAAAAAGACATTTTAACCTAGTACTAAATGAAAAGGGCGCCAAATAATAATACAAAAAGACGACGTGTCGTCGGAAATGACGTCACGTCATTAATTTGGTTTCCAGTACTGTGAACGCTTGTATTTCACTGAAACAACGTAGCGGGCTCAAATATTTAAAAACAGTGAAATATCAGTTTTTATTCCACTGATATATTTTTATAAACCACCGAAAAGCATGTAATAAATGTATATATTCGTTATCTACGAGTTTTAGACAACAACAACAAAAAACAAACAAAAAAAACAACAAAAAAAAAAAACAAAAAAAAAAAAAAAAAAAAACAATCAGAAGAGTACACGGTGGTTATTTATAAGTAATAGAAATTATATTTGATCTGCATGTCTGTAACGTTCGGTTAGTCTCAAATAACGTTTACTGTCTCCTGAAACAATGACTGTTGACTATTGAAATCAAGGGAAAAGGGTGATCCCTTGGAAGCATTGAATAAAATTATATAACATTGAAGATCCGGTTTGATTGAGTCTGTACATGAGGGATAATGAAAAAGTGCAAGTACGTACACGATTTAAATGGTCTGCAATTGGCAAGTATTTGATTTGATTTTCTTTGCATTCGATGAACTTATATATCTTTAAGATACCATATCCCACTGTCTTTTTATACATGTATAAGCCAAACACAACTATAATGATAGAAATTGAGTACAGATGTTACGTGGATGCATCTAAAAAAACGCACATACTGTTACATATATTGATCGCACATTGCTAAGTTTGGCACCTTTGCCAACATTTGCTATTTTTGCTGTATATTATTAGATAGTAATATAGTTCATTGTAAAAGCAAAACATTAGAATGTAACTATTTTAGCACTTCGTCATTTAGTACAATTTCTTTTGTGAACGTAACACTGTTTTTTTAGCATAAAGAATTTAAAACAAAATCAGATCTTAAGTTTTCATATATATATAACAACAGGAACATGTTGGTTTAGACACAGATTGTTTCTTAGATAGAGCACATATTTCAAAAGGTTTTTGGCCACAATCAATCTATGTATCGCATGAATATTTAAGCATTTTTACCAGTGCACATCAATCATGAAAATAATATAACAAAACATACTTAAAATACTAGTAGTTCTTTATTAAACAATAAAAGTCATGAGCATGAGTGATAAATACAAGTTATCGGTTAATGAATTAAGTACCATAAATTATGAATTAACCCATTAATTCATATACACGCCTTTTAACGCCTTTATCACCCCCCCCCTTTTTGTTGTCTCAAATGATGAAAAAATGCCTTATTTAGGCCCCAAACACTTGTATTTGTTTGAGAAATGTTGTTAAAAAAGTGACCTCTTTTTCGGCGCGGCCCCCCAACCAAAAGATACATCAGGGGGTTGCCAGAAGGGGGATGTGCCCCCTTCTGTTTGGGGGGTTTTAAGGGGGGCGGAGTCACCCTCATCGCCAAGAAAATTTTGGACTTGTGAGAGGCTGTAAATGACCCCAGATTGATCATAAGGTAACTTGTAACCAACGCTGAAAAGCAAATTTTGACTCTATCTCAATCCATTGAAAAGTTACAGCACTTTGAAATCAATTTTGATGGAAAAAATCAACGCAAAATAGTGATTTTTGGCAATTTTGAGATGTCCCCTCGTTGCCATGGTAACAGAAAATTTAAGCCTGAGCATGTTGTTGCAAGGGCAATGGTCCAGTCAACATTTGTGCCAAGTTTGATTAGTGTTGAAGCAGTTTTTATAGTATTATAGCAATTTGAACTTGTAACGGGAGACTTTTCAATGAAAACAGCCATTTTTCACAAAATGCTCATGAAGTAATGGGTTAATGAAAAAAATAAAAAAATCTACAAAACAACAATTTTTCTTCAAATTTATATAACAGGCCTTGTTCAAACATGAAAAAACGCGATTTAGGGTAATTTCAAGTATTTTCATCATTTTCTGTTAATGAAAAAAATAAAAAAATCTACAAAACAACAATTTTTCTTCAAATTTATATAACAGGCCTTGTTCAAACATGAAAAAACGCGATTTAGGGTAATTTCAAGTATTTTCATCATTTTCTGTTAACCCATTACTTCATATACACGCCTTTTAACGCCTTTATCACCCCCCCCCCTTTTTGTTGTCTCAAATGATGAAAAATGCCTTATTTAGGCCCCAAACACTTGTATTTGTTTGAGAAATGTTGTTAAAAAAAGTGACCTCTTTTTCGGCGCGGCCCCCCAACCAAAAGATACATGTTTAATGCAATTAGGGAAATCGATACACTATAGATACAATATGTTTCTTGTACCAGTTTCTTAATGAGAAAACGTGCTAATGGTGGGTAATTACTAAATCATAAATATTGGTAACAGAGGAATATTTGGATGTATAATTTATGTACATTCATGTTCATATAAAAATATAAATTGAATGACCAATAGAAAGAATTTTAAATTCATATGACGGAAGCTAGTATATGACGCCAGTGAAATCTCCTTTTTACAGAATGAAATGTGTTATATGCACGTTAAAGGCAAATAAAACAGATGGATGAACGAGAAATAGTGCTTGTTTTGTAAGAAATATTATCATATAAGATTAAAATATGAAATATAATGCTAAACTGTGTTTTACTAGTTAAAATTGAAAGAAAAACATATATCTCTCTATCACACACACGTACAAGAAAGAAAGAAAAGGAAATAGAAAAAATAATACCCGCCAAAAAACAACAACAAAGTCCTTGAACAACAATTGTATGTTACTGAATGCCATCAGCCGCCTTATGGATGTATAAATGTATAAATATAAAAAAATGTTTACAATATACACAATATACTTGCTTACCAATTTTTATTTTTTTTTGGGGGGGGGGGGGGAGAGGGGATTACCTCAATAAATAGTTAATAAGAGCAGGACTATTTAAGGCCATGAATTATGCATGTTGCGTTGGTACTTAACTGTTGGAGAAATGTTTTATATTGTTCTTCCGTCTGCTCTTTTAGAGAAAATGACAATAAAATCCTTAGAATTCGGCACATAAAAGGTTAAAGTAATAACTAGGATCATTTACTTTATTCAGTGGTATACGTCGGAAACGTTTATTTTACATATGTATGCTAATGTGTCTCTGTTTTCACTTTCCTCTTTGGTGTCTAGCATGATTTCCTTTCGATTGACCTGTTTCCAGCGTGGCTCTTTAACAGTCGGGGGCTATGTGCCTCTATTTTTTTTATCGTTAATGACGACAAATTAAGAAATAAATACCAGGCGACAATATATGAAAAAAAACTTACTTCAATGAAAAAAGTATAAATAGTTACAGGTAAATCACATATCAAATGTTATTTTTTCGAGAACAAAAATAACGTGCATAACGTGCTAAATTAAAAAAAAAAGTTAAAGACAACTTACTTTCTTCGAAGTCAGGTGCAATGCTCGGATCATATTTAGATAGATGGCTGGTATTACCTGATACTCCGAGTAATACATTTAGAACTGCTTGTCTGAAAAACATAAATCTGATTATCAAAAACTGTCAGTAAATGTATCACGTACATGAATTAAAAGCTTTGACCATTTAAACAATATCATTACACATTGAATTAAACGATCTAAAGTAAATATTACTAAAATTCAAAATCTCAAACAAACAGAACACACGAATTTTATGCAAAATTACTGTTACATATCTAAACATTTATAATCATTCGCATCGTATGAAACTACATTTGAGCCGTTTGAAATTTCAGAGTATTTTTGTACTGTTAGAAGCATATAACTTAAAGACAGAATCTTTGGATCCATGTGTTAAAGGAAATTTTTCTGTTTACTTTTAACTTTCACTGCACTAACAAACACATCCTTATGAACTATTCTATGGAGTATGTTCACCTGAGTCGTATGACTGTACAATTCTCTGATTGTAAAGATTGAAATGTCGCTATTGACAGCTTAAGTAACACCCTTCAAATCACAGAAATACAAATCTGGTAACCTAACAAGAGATGCATCAAAGCTAAATAATCAATGAATTACTATATTATCGTGATTTTATGCCCATCTAAGTGTAAATGGTGAGTGCACAGGTAAATCTCAAAATATCTTTCAATTTGCCATAATTGTGTTCCATCTTTTTTAACAATAAAAAAATAAGCCGGACCCAGTACATTTTAAAAATCTTTTTATAATTTTTTTAAAAAAAAGGGTGGCCTTTTTTTTATAATTAAAGTATTTTTTATTTACCCTTTTAACAATTTTTATTTAAATCATTTTAAAATAATATTTTTAAATATATTATCGTTGAACTTGACAACACAATGAGCACAATTTTTCCTACTAATGTTTCCCAAAATTTAGAGGAATTTAAAGGAATGTAAACTTAGTTTTTTATTCTTTGAAATTTTAAAGAAACTTCAAACATATGCTGCCTATGTAATGGCAAGAACAATATTAAGTGTCAAAACGATATTTTATCCAAAGGTAATTATAGTGAGGAGAATTAATGCTGACAATGTGAAATCAGCAAGAACAGGTAGAACAAAATTTGTATGCATACTCATAAAATACTCGTCAATTGTTTTTTCTAGTCAGAACAAATAAATTGAGTATTTCGGATGAAAATATAAATTGTAAATCTCTGTAGGAACATCAGCAAGTGATGAATATAAGTGATACATAATTATATTGGTCTAGACTAGAGAAAATACTTGTTACTTGTAGTTTAAAGAATGCAAATTTTTAAATGCACATAATGGAAAGCAAAAAAATGTATCACAACTGATGAAAAGAAAAATCCCACAAAAAAAAACTCCCCATCAATAAGAACAAAAAAGAAAGACAAAAACGACAAAAATTAATATATTTAAAAAGACAGCTGGACCATGTGCTATAAAATATTCGAGAAAACGATACTGGGGGTTTTGGGGAAACCAAATTTGGGTTTAAAGGGGATCCCGAGTCAAATTTAAAAAAAAAACAAAAAATGAACTGTAATGATTTAATGTCCTATTGAAAAATATTAACAACACTTTTGACTTTAAAAGGGAAACCCCCAAAAGGGTAAAAAAGCCTAAAACACATAAAAAATTTTCGAATTTTCTTATTATAAAAAAATAAAACTTAAGTCGTTTTTTTTCTGTTTTTTGCCCGACGGGGTTTAAAAAGGGGTTGAAAAAGTTTTTTTAAATTTTGGGGTCTTTTTTTCAAAATAAGAGTAATTATTCTGGTCAACCGGAGTGAGCAAATGATCTGAAATTTTGCACATAAGTGATTAGGATAGACCTACATCAGATAGAACATTAATTTCGAAAACAGTCCCCTGATGTCAAAGAAAATCTAAGTGGAGTTTATTTAAAAAGACGTAACAAAACTTTTGTTGAAGATGCATTTATTTCGTAAACAGTCCCGTACTGTCAAAAAGAACCTCAGTAGAGTTTTAAAGAGACATTGCAAACAGATGCATTACAAAATATAGTTATGAATATAGCCCGCCAAGTGTATGTTCACTAAGTTGTCATACATTTCCTAGCATTTATACGTAATGCATAATATAAGAATTCACTGCATTCAGACAGGCAACTTCTTGTCAGAACAATTAGAACAATAAGTGAGTGCACGTTCATATCTCCACACAAAACTACCTGGATTAAACAGCACAAATGAGATGTATTAAACAAGTAATACTTTGCAATTAATCGACAAATAAAATGTAAAATGAATAAAATGTCTTTCCCGTTAAATATTTCATGTGATTTCAGTGATTTTATAAAAAGGAGAAAAAACTTTGTATATGAATATAAGAAATAGCTTCGTTGAAGTTGTTTCTTTCATCTAATTTTCAGACAAAAAGAGGTATTTTAGATTTAACTTATTATAAAAACAACGCTATTATTGTTGTGCAAGTTAAATATGTTGTTATTTACCTGTGTAGATAAGGCAATGGAGATAAATTTTTGTTCGGTACAAACGCAAGACAATAAATAAATAAGTAAATAAATAAATAAATAAATAAAAATTAAATAAAAATAAAATTCAAGATATGTCACTATTCATCTATTTATCAACTATATGAATATCTTTACAATATAGCTATTTAACTGATAGTTTTTGTTTTTAATTTGTAAAAATGTCGTTTTTTTATCGTTTCATTGTGTAGGAAAATAAACATATTTTTTCCATTATTTAAAATAAGATCCTAGACCATGTGCTGCCCCAATTATCTGTTAAAAATTTCATCATGATAGCATATTTCATAATTTTTGAGATTTTTGCTGATTGTCAAAAGATAAAACCATGTCGTTGCCAAACTTTGTAGGTGTTATTCTAATGTCATTTATATTAAAAAAAATCATAAAAGATATGAATAATACGAACATTTAGAAAAGACGTCTATATAAACACAAAAGTGTAGATTTAAGGTTACTTTTGAAACATAAAATAGTCAAATAATATTTTTAGTTAAAACAACAGTACAAGGCCTTACCTGGACATGTTTCCAGATGCATAACAAACGCATACACAAAATAGTAGATATACTAAAAGAGTTGAATATATTCCCGCCATATTCCACAGGTTTTACACAATCCTTTGCAGACGAATTTTCACAACCTTATTTAGATTAATGTCATTTTTGGGCAGAAAGAACACTTTTAAATTTTTTCAAAATTCCGTGGTAACAAAATTTAAAAGTGAATTTAGAAACCCCCTAAAACCCGGGGCTGTTTTAAATCTCCAGAAATTAAATTTAATTGAAAACATAAATCCAAATGGTCACTGGCGTTTGAGAGTTTTATTTTTTAAACATATGACACTTATACCCTTTCTGTTTTTCTCCCTTTTGTGTTTTGCGAATCCCCGCGCCGGGGAAAATAACGTTTTCCCCCTCCCCCCAATTAATTTTTTTATTTTTCAAAGAAAACTATTTTTCAAATTGGGATATCTTGTTTAAATTAAACATGCCTTTGTTGTCGATTTTTTCATCTTTAGGGGCTAAAATTTTCTGTTTTTTTATTTTTTGATTTTTTTTTTTAAAAAGAAAATTTTTAACATCTTCCTTATTTAATTCTTTCCAAAAATTTTTCCATTCACATCTTGTTGCTTTTCTAAAAGAACATCTAGAAAGTCCCAAATTTTTCACATAAAAAATCCAAACAAAAAACCTGTTTTTGGTTAAATTTTTGAAAAAAAATTAAAGGGTTATTTTTTCTCACACGCAGTACAATTTAAATTGCGTTTAAATTAACAAAAATTGCGTTATGTTTACAATATGAAAGCATATGAAAAAAGGTGAAAGTAAGACGTTGTTTTCAGAGATACAAAAAAAACCCTTTATTTAAGGTTAAATTTAGGCATTAATAAAACAAAAGGACCTTTGGGAAAAGGTTTTTTTAACCAAAAAATTTCTTTGAAGAAAAAATTCGAATTTTAAAATCAAATTTTCCAAAAAAAATAAAAAAATTTTCAATTTGCCGGTTTAAAAAATTTTTAAAAGGAAATTTCAAAACATTTTGAAATTCCTTCCCAAAAAAAAATTTTTGTTTCAATTTAATTTTTTTTGGTTTTAAGATAAATAGAAATTATTAAAAAATTTAAAAAATTTTTTGAGAAAAGATTTTTTTTCAAAAAGAACAAATTTTATAATTTAACTAAAATCATTTTGATTTTCAAAAATTCCCCTTTAAAAGGTGGGCCCCCTGGGAAAAAGCAGTAAACAAAAAGGAAAAATACACACTGTCATTGAATTTAATTTTTGAATTTGAGTTTGTAATTTACAACATAAACAAATTTTCCCCTTCCAAAAAAATTTCTCAGTAACTGGTTTTTAAACCAGTAAAATTTGTCGTATCGATTTTTCCCCGTACTCGTTTAATTTTCCCAGGGAGTGATTAAAAATGGTGTATGGCAGAAAATTTAAACTTGATGCCTCTAGCCATAAAAAGAAAACACCCAAAAACAAAAACCCAAAACATTCAAAAAAAATTATAAAAAAGGGAAGGAGAAAAAAATTGGGGCCCTTTTCCTTTTGGGTTTTTTGTCATAACCCCATTTAACTATTTGAATTTTTTTTTTAAAAATTTTTTTTTAAACAAAGTTAAAAAGTAATTAAGGGATGTTTTAAAACATTTAATTAATTAACTGTCTTTTTGTAGGGAAAGGGGAGGGAAAATAACTCAATTTCACATTTGGGAAATTTTTTTATCAAAATTTTTTTTTTTTTTTAAAAATTTAAAATTTTTCAAAAAAATTAAACTTATTTGACGAGGAGGCCCCTCATTTTTTTCAAACCCTTTAGAAGAAAATGAATTTTTATGTTTAAATCTTTGACTTGTTTTTTCAAACTCCTCTTCCGAATTAAAATTAAGTGTTTATCCCTAAATTTTATATTTTCAGTCGCTCATGATTTTGGTTAAACAATGTCTTCTGGTTGTAATGTATATCTATGTTTGAAACGTTTGGGAATAAATATTTTTTAAACTAAAGTTGAAATTCATGTATTCTTATTAAATGAATTTTTGACCGTCTCTCTGTCAGCATGTACATGTTATGTAAAATTATCTGGAAAAAGTGACATCGGAAGCATTAAAAACAGCAAAATTACATAATTACATGAAAATTGCAGACTCGGTTTTATTTACGGATATATGAGGGATAATGAAAATGTGCAACATCCTCATGCCCCCTTCTTGAGAGAGCGATACTCAATTTTAAACACTTAAAAGTGCTGGACTCAATCATCCTATTATTATAACATATTTAATTTGTGAATTCACTGTGCCTCAGTTGATCACATTGCTTACTGAGAAAGAATCATCTGAAATGTAACATGTTTCATGGCTTGTTTAATCTTTCTTTAATCATCAACTATTTGAAATCGTCTTCTTAAATGCCTAAAGGTTTCTGTGATACATGATATATATATAAAGTCTTTGTCACAGTGAAAAATAGCTGTTGACACAACACGTTTAGAAAATGTGTTAGTAAAGTAAGTGAAAATGCAATGTTTAGAAAGTCCATGTTTGTGGATTTGTTTCATATACTAAAGGAAAGTAGGGAACGACATAATGTATTAATTATGAAGATCTATCCTGTCATTTAGAAAAAGTCAGATAATCTGATTTTATTGGTTAAGAATTAGACATGAAAATACTTTTTTCACATACTGAATTTCCCTGTACTTATTTATGCACGCTTTTATAATGAATTTAGTAGAATGTAATGGAGACAAATATTCGTGAGTGCACGTATAGAAGTGATCCCTTCAGACACAATAAAACATAAATAGAACATGAAAATAGCAGATTCGGTTTGATTGTTCTTTAAAGATAATGTATTAGTGCAACATCTTTCACGCCCCATCCCCCGAAGCACCGTCTTAAGAGGTATTCTCATCAACTTATTATAATTATATCAGTTCTTATAATGTCCCGCCTTTCTTCGCTCTTGTGCCTTCTCTCGTTTTTTGGTTCGGAGACTTCTTTGTGCCCAGCTGGTGTGGTTTGGGTGTTTCGGGGCTGCCTTCTCTGTGTGTCGCCTTACCTAGTTGATCTGTGGTCTCATTCTTTTTCAAAAACAGTTTTAAATTTTCAATACTAATGTGCTGGAATCAATGATGCCGAAGGAAAAGTCAACGTCTCCTTTTTAGAGTATAATAGTATAAGTACTTTTTTCTGATTCAAAAAATAATTTCATCCTTACATTTTCTATGACGCCATAAGCATTTTATAGTTGTTTAAGCAGTAAGTTAACTGGATATCAATTAAAACGATGCTTACATTTTATTTCCCTAAACTATTTTTGCTACAGTAATTATTAAGCAATGCGAAACTAAAGAGAGCATAAATTGACAAAAGCTATGTATGATCAGCATACAATATTTTTCAGAAATACATGTACATTAACAGATATACACAGTTCTATATTTATCCATTTTTTAGCTTAGAAAAAACAAAACAAAAAACAAAAACAAACAAACGCCAAGTAAATATTGTGTCTTGGAACCAATACACAGCATTTGGAGCAAAATAATGTAAGTGAAAAATTATCGTCCCTAAAGACATTTTTATCATACTTTAGAACGAAACAATACGTCTTCAGTGAAGCTATGATAATAACATAAAAATAATGTATTCATAAGGGAACGGACGATTAATTGTGTGTCCATCAATGATTTTATCTACGGAAAATGATTATAGATAAGTTTCTTGAAAGATGTACACTGTTAATATATTATCACCGCATGTAAAAAAGACATTTTATAAAAGTACAAAGTCATTATGTGACACTTTAAACACAATACTTAAAGCTGTTCTTATGGTTCTCAACACACAACAAAAATTATTTCATGACGTAATCAATTACATAGACAATTTTTTGTCCGCTACATATTATCAATTCAATATCAACCTACAGAATCCAAATTTTAAATCCTGAACTCAGACTTGTTTGACTTCCATTATCTAGACTGACCTACCTGCACATACGTGCAGACTGACATGGCTCTTTACTGGTAACAAAGGCTTATCAATTTCCATTTAAGCAGGTTAAAGCGTCTACAGATTTAAGATAATTTTTACGCGCACTCAAATGTAAAAATATCGTGAAGTGAACACAAGAAAGTAATTTTCATAGTACAATCCAATCCTCAAAAATAATTCAAAATCTGCAAATATAGTCCTTACTGCCTTAGTCAAGCAGTAGAAATATAATGTTCCATACCACAAAATCAGTCTTAAATCGCACATAAAATGTAAATGTTCACTATAATCCGGAATCTTTTCACTCTTTTCTAAAAAACTTATAACATTTTTCTAAAGTTTGATTTCCTTGAAATATTCTGGCTCATCTGGAGGCATGCAGCTTTAAATAATTAATAACACTACATATAACATGTAAACTTCTAATAAGATTGGCAAAATTTGAAACGAAAAACTCTTAATTAAGCGAAAATTATTTACTATACATGCTACTGTTATATTAAAAAAATTTGTTCTACATGTAGTGCAATGTAATAAAATATTATAAGAATCCAAAATTTGGAATGTAATAAGGAAATATTACTTAAGATAAATGAAACGAATTTTAATTTTTTCAAACAATTTATTCTGTAATGCATTAATTTTTAATACCTGTGATTATTATCAAAAGCCCATTATTCCCCAGAATTGCTTTTACTTTTATTTCCCAAAGGCATTTTAATCTTAGTGTCCTGTTATAGTTTTAAAAACGTTACTCATTGACCAGTTACCTGAACCATTACCTGTTTGTCTCTATTGCTTTTTTGGCAAACGGTACAGTTATGGTGATTTGGTATAGAAGTCAAAATACTGCTTTGGTTACATTTTGCTACTTTTATGACAAATAGTTTCAGTTTCAGCGCTACTTTCTTCATTTGATAAACCATTATCTACACATCATAAAACCCATGTTTTCTCTTTCTAAAAGACGCAAAACAAATATTAGTTTCTGAGCCTTTAATGGACCTTTTAAAACTTATAGTTGTTGTATAATTAAGTTTTGTTTCTTTCAAATCATCAATAGACCGAACAGTAGTTATCCTTTTGAAAAAAGATATTAATTGATGTCAAAGTCGCTGTATAGCCTCTTTGAGCCGGTTTGTTTAGTACACAGACATAATTTTAGAATCACACTGAA